TGGAATACATTTTAAAAGTAACCTTCCCAACACTGCAAATGACATCCAACCATAAATTACCGTTTCTTAATTGCAGAAATAACTCAGCTGAAAAAGTCATATATCTCCTCTTCAGCAAAGCAGCTGTTGATAAGATTCATCAGTCGACCAGACGGCCAGAATGTGCACTTCCTTTTTTTTATTCCTGGCTCTCTTGTATTGATGTGTCGTCACATCACTTGCTTAAACATCACCAATTTTTCCTAATGGACGAAGATAATCAATATATATGGATCCATTTTCTCATTTCCAACAATTACCACGAGTCTTCCACTTGCCTGGGTCAGATTGCTCAGTGTGCACTCTGCACACGTACGTACTTACATATGCACACACAGTGCCGCACATAATTATCTATTCAAACACTCCACAGGATATTTTTTCTGTATTTTCTCTAAATGCACGCTGGCAACGGCATTAAAAACAATGTGTCGTTCCACTTCTGGCATTTTGCAATTCAAAATGATGCGAGCGTCACCTGAGCGGAATACTGAGGAGCAGACAGAGGCGTTCCAGCCAGCAGCATTAACATACAGGAAGCCATTATCACATCTGGCCTTTGCAGCCAACTGGAAGGCTGTGTGTGTTTGTTTGTGTGTGTCTGCACGATATGTTTCCGTGTGTCTACCTGTAAATACGCGGCTGCGCGTGTGTCGGCCTTTATCCATAAATATGCATGAAACAAATACAAGGTGGTGTCCATGCCTGTGCAAATTAGGTACATATGTGTGCACGTGTCCCCATCCCCCAACCGGCTCTCAGATTAGAGGCTTCTGTAATGCTTCTACAAAGGTCAGGGTTTTGTGGTGGTCGGGCTGTAGCGGCAGGCCGTGTTTAAAGGTCACCACGCCACACCATCACATTATCTCCCTGCCATTTCATACCAGTTTGTCTGTCTGATTGATTTTTAAAATAAAGCTGCACGTCCTCCCAGGCTCAGCGTGGCTGCTTCTCTCTCGCAGTGAAAACAGGCAGTGTGCGTGGGGGTAGCTGTGTGGCTGTTAGACTGGAAATCCTGTGATGGTGACAGTGATGACCGCTCCCTGCTGCATGGGTGGACGAGCTTTGTCAGGGTTCACTGTTTCGCTGTTTCGTCGGCGCAGGTGTAAAAATCAAACATCACATCGGTTGGCGCTCTGGCTTCAACACTGCTGTGTAAAAAGTGAGAGATTTGTTGTGGTGGAAGGACAAGATGGAAACGCAGCTTTACAGACATTTTTCCAACTGTTGTGTGAACTCGTTTCTTCTGTTTGTGCTCTTATTGCTCTGTGATGACAGCAGCTGGTGATTCGGGTCATTCGCTTGGCCGTTGCTAAGGATTTTCTCACTTTTTAATCATGTCTCCATTTCAACATCTTTATCTTAATGGAGCAACACTGCATATAAACTAATGTTCAACAAGACAGATGTTAGGAAAAAGGCACCTGGATCACAGTTTCTGTGAATTTCTATGAAACTGTGACTTTTAAAGCACTAATAAGAGATGAGGAACTGAACTGCAGGTTGACTTGGTGGGAACATAAAAGCGATATAAAGAATCGACTTGCAGCCTAAACACCAGGGAGTGCAGGCAGATGAGTGATTACAGATGTCATGAAGCTCATTTTGGTGCCACGGCGTGTCCGAGCAGAGGGAAAGGTCACAGCGCTGCTAAGTACATCCTTCGAGTACTTGAAGCCATTGCAATGGAT